ATACGTAGGTACACAGAACTCAATAGCTTGAAGAAATCACCTGTGGTTCTTTGACCTGCTTACCTGGATCTGACTTCTTCTGTAATATTTTTAACCAATCCAGGTGGACCTTCCTTCAGGAATAGTAAACCCCAATGGCTCAGTTACAGAGTGTTCAACATGTCCAAAGCATATGATGGAAATTATCCCACCATGAAGACTAAAGAAACTTTCCCTGCCTTCATGGACTCAGCTTGCTGAGGACAGCACACATGAGGTGTAGCTCAGAGAGACAAAGACGTTCTCTTTCTTTGCAAATAAGTAGCCAAAAGGGCAGGGAAGAGAGGTAAAATACGTCAGAGCCAGGCCCGCAGAATCCCCTGGTCTTACCATTACTTGTGATGCTTTCAAATGGGTTATTAGTACCTTAATTTTGAGGAAAAAAGAGTGGAAGGAACCAGCCAGTGGTTTTGCATGCTTAGTTTCTGCCTATGACACCGAACTCAAGAGAACTGAGACCTTTGGAGAAACCAAAGATGGTTCAAATGACTCAGAATAAATTAACTCGGTGCTCCTTGCTGATAAGTTGAAGTTTCCTAACTGTAAAGCAGAACCAGCAGCCACCAACATAGAAGGTCTACCCCACAGATAGAGAAGAGATAAAGCACTGAAACTCAGCCAGAGGGAACCTCCCCAGCCCTGCCACGCAGGGTGGTGGGGTTCCTTCGGGACCAGCCAAATAAGATGGCAACACCAACCCAGCTGCTCGGGCACTCTCTTCCAGGCCTGGAGACCAGAGGAAAGGGGATGTGGGGAGACGGCTGGTCCCCAAGGAAGGGGAGTCTTCCCCAAGGAAGGGAAGTTGTCTCAGGAGAAGCCACTTCCCTCCTAAAATGCATGGGATTTTCCACTTCAGCAGGGGACGGTAACTCAGCACATAGCAAAACAACGAGGGCGCAGGACAGATGACCTCCCTGCACAGTTGTGGATCAGAATCCCAGCACAGCAGTCGTGCCCCTTCCTAACAGAGGGAGAGCTACACCCAACCCCAGCACACCTTTGCCCTCCAAAAAGCTGAGGCCAGACCAAGAAGTCTCTGGGAACTACAAAAGGACACCAGAGCTGAGGTTGTGAGGGCCAGGACTGAGACTGGGCCAGCCTGGGAACTGCCCAGAGCTTTGGTCTCCAGGTCTGGCTGCCCTCCAAGAGCAGCCAGCCCTTTCCAAGTAGACATACCACATGTCCCTAATATTCTCTCTCCAAGTAATACAACCACTTTTCTCAAAGCAAAGACATTTCCCAGAGCCTTACAGGCCTGGCTGATATCTGCTGAGTAGAACTCAGTCCCGGAAGGAGCTGTTAAATAACCCACGGTTTCAGTTTATAGACTTCTTATGACTTAGTGACAAGTGAAACAACATTCTGACAGCAACTGCAAGTTCCCTAGCACCCGGTGACTTCTCTTTTTTCTTGGGATACTCCCTCCTGCTAAATCACAGAACCAACCCACCCCTACCCACCGGAATAAAGACAGAGGAGCGCAACCCCACATTTTAACCTATGAGATGTGGACATCACCTCTTCTTCTGAGAGCTTAACACTAATTGGAAGTTACTTTTTCCCCTTCACCTCGAATGCGGTGATGGACTCTCTGAACTGGACTCCACAACATGTAGGAGGGCAGTCATGGGCAGGACTTCTAAGGGGCACAGACAGGACCAGCCAGCCCTAGATAAGCGTAGAGGAAGCAAAGCTACCTTGGTTTTCCTTCTTCCTCCCCAGATACTCCCATTTGTCAGACCTCTCTTGGTCTCAGCTGGTAGTCACTTCAAATTACTGATGGTGCAATCCAGTAGTTCAGGTTATTAGTTAATCAAGCTGACAGCAAGGCCTTTCCTGGCCACTTGTACATATTAAAATATGAGGGATGAGCTCAAGAGGAAAATCCACTGAGATCCAAAGGAAGGACGCTATCATGGTGGAGCTACAGATGCTGCATTAATGCTTTGGAGCAAAGGAGAGCCCTTTTCTCCCATAAGCAAATGCCAGCCCAAGGCCAGGATATTACTAAAGACCCTAGATGACAGCAATGTGCAATGTGGTGGCAGTGTCCTCCAATCTCGCCACACACATGCATTCCTACCATCACACTATTTGCCCTTGCCTGGTTGCCAGAGCACAAGATCTGTGATTAAGTCAGGCCCCCCTCACACTCGAGGGCCACGTTCAAAATTCTGAATAATGATGATGACCATGGACAGGGAAGGCTGGGAGCTTCTGTCATAAAAACACTTAGCAGAAAGCCTTGAAAACAGTGTAGCAGCAAGACACAAGCTGGGCTCATTATCTAAACTGAGAGACCAGGTTTGGGGGTCTTAACGTTCTTAAAAAAAAAATAAGAGAGAGAGAGAGGAAATCACTTCTTTTTTCTTCATCTTCCACTTAACTTTCAACAAAACATGGAGTCTCCTTTCTTCAGAGGAAAAATGACTGGGAGACCAGCTGACCACTGCCATGGTAGTCTGGCTCATTCATAAGCAAGACTCCACATGGACTGCCTGACAGAGCTGAGCTGGAAGAGTTCTCTCCAAGGCAGAGACCCCAAGCCTAGGAACGTTACAAAGAGCAAGTGTTAATTGCAGGATTACTATGCTCCAGGGATTTTTCACACTTCATCTCTCTCAGTCTTCACCGCAGCAATGTGGGAAGAACTATTATTATCCCAGTTTTATAGATGAGCAACCAAGGGCACAGATCCTTGGGGTTTCTTAGCCAGGGTCAAACAGCAAGTGGCAGAGCCGGGCTTTAAACCCAAGCTGTGTGAACTCAAGAGTCCGTGCTCTGCCATGTGCCTACCCATAGGGATTCGCCTAGGTGGCATCTAGACAATGGGAAATTGCAGTGTGTATATCTTTGCGCACAAGTGTGTGTACGTCTACACAATATATAAACCGATAATGTAAATACAGAGGTGAGTACCTAGGTAGCAAAGAAAACCTTACCCAGATTAGGGTACCAGAGGATTTAGCTGAAAACACCGTGGGTCAGGTGCTACCTCTGGGGAGAGAAGCTGGAAAGGAAGGAGACTTACTTTTCCCTGTATGCCCTGATGTTCTGTTCAAACATTTTATCAAGCACATGTACTTCCTATTTTAAAAACTTTTAATTGAAAAGAAAACTCTGTATGTTGTTGAGTCGCTAAGTCTTTGAAATTTACTGAGTCGTATTTTCTAAACAATAGAAAAGTGAGAAGAAGCAGTCCCGCACTACAGAGGCCTAGCACACGCATCGCAGGGGAGCCGGAGAGGTGGCTTCATTCAGTGCAGGAGGCTTGGCTGCGGGTGTCTGAGTTGCTCAAGACCCAAGAGCACTAAAAGCGAAAGCATTCGGCCAACCTCTCCCATTTTCATTTTCAAACTCAAAACCCTGCTACCACCACCGCAGGACCTGCCTCTCTGTTTAGAAAGTCAGCGAAAGAATGAATGACCTCACTTTCCCCAACAGGCAGGTCCCAACATGTTGTGCGCAAAACAAAACTTGAGTAAAGCGATTCATATTTTAAATACCCTGGCTGAGGTCCTTGTTTTAGCAATCCTGACAAGATCCTCTTTGCAAAGCAAAGAAGCTGATTGTGATGTTAACACTGTGTTATGTAAACAAAACAAAAAAATTTTTTTTTGGTGCCATACAAGGGTCCTAGTCTCAGCCTGGAACCGATCTTCTGAGCTGTCTGGGTGTTCTGGAGACTGGTGGGGCACCCTGGTATAGACTCCATTTGCATGAAACCAAGGACCCTCTTGTAAGGACTGAGGAAGCCCGTTCAAGTTCAACCCAAATTGGAAGGCTGAGGCATTGGAGGAGAAGCCTGATTCCGAACCTAGGACACTGTTCTACAAGTAGATTCTTCTCAGCCGCTTCTGGATTTAAATCAAGTCATACAGCAGGGGGGTGCTATGAACACAAGATCCAGAAAATGCCACAAGGTCCTCCTTTGACATCCCATCAAAGAGGTGAGTAGTGTTCTCCCCACTTCTGCCCTGAACCCGGTGTGTGTGTCAGTAAATTGAGGACTCCAACAGACCGAGAACCCGCCCAGGGTCCTCGGGGCTCCCCATGGGAGCAGGGTCACCCTGTGGCCAGTGGAGCGACAAGACAACCCCCATGGCACAGAGATCAAAGTCTTCATGGGGAGGATCCCCAAAAGGCCACTGGGGAGTGAGCAGGGCTATCGCTGACCTGGCCAAAGTGAGCTGGAGCAGGTGAGGAGGAAGACGGCAGATGCCACGTGGTGGCGAAAAGGAGTCATTTAGGTATGCACCCACACTGCACCTGGAGACTCCTAGCGACTAGTGCACGAGATTTGGGGGCAGTCAGGCGGTTCAGCCACAGCTGGTCACGGCAAGAGCCCAAGAAAAAAGTACTGCAGAGGGCTCGCAGTATCTTATTTGTAACCCCAGGCCAGTGGGCTGTAGGGTGGTCTGAGGAAACTCATCTCAGGTTTTTTACAAACACCAATAAACTGGAATACTAAATCCCAGCCAGTTAATCTGGTAATTAAAGTATTTTTTAACCATAGTCAGCCTTAGCTTCCCCCCCCCCCGCCCCACCCCCTTGCCACCCCGCGTTAAACTTCGAGCATGATTTCAGCTTTACTTTCCTTCTCAAGACATGCCAATGTGCTGAGTCACTAAAAAAAAAAAAAAACAGAAAGTAAAGGAAGAGTGATCCAGCTTCTGAGGACTAGCCTTGGTAATGACTTCTTTCCCCTGGTTGTGATTCCTGTGATGCTAAAGGACGTCACATTGCACAATCTTAATAAGGTTTCCAATCAGCCCCACCCGCTCTGGTCCCACCCCCATCCTCCAACAAAGATTTATCAAATGTGGGATTTTCCCATGAGTCTCAATATTAGAGTTTCAACCCCCAATAAATATGAGACCGGGGATGTCTGAGGTTCAGTCTGCCCTCGAGCCCACCAGGAACGAGAAAGAGAGCTCCATTTGCGCTCCAGGAACCCAGCTATGAACTCCCTCTCCACAAGTAAGTGAAGGAAATCCCTCGCCCTGGAACTGGCTGGCAGCCGTGCTGGGCCAGGGAGGCGGTGTGTATCCGCTGCCCCGAGGGCTGGCGGGCGGCCAGCAGCCAGAAGCACAGCTCCCCCAGCGGTGCGTTCTGCTCACTGGCTGCTCTCCCTTCCCTCCGGCACAGTCGCCTTCTCCCTGGGGCTGCTCCTGGTGACGGCTACTGCTTTCCCTACCCCGGGACCCCTGGGAGAAGATTTCAAAGATGATACCACTTCAGACAGACTACTCCTCACCTCTCCAGACAAAACTGAAGCTCTCATTAAGTACATCCTCGGCAAAATCTCCGCAATGAGAAAGGAGGTAGGTAGGCTTGCCTGAGGGTGATGGAGGGCCTGTGTGGGCATCTATTTCCTTGCCCTTGGATGTGGACGGGAGCTCCTGCACTGGGAGGCCTTCGCTGGGTTTGGAGGCAATTTGGATTTGAAGCCAAAGGGGCAGACTGTGTCCTGTAATTTCTCCTCTGCTGCTGGTCCCAGGTAGTTCCTTTTTCTCTTGGAGAATCTACAGTGGGGCTGGGATCCATGCTCCCTGGCCCATTCTCAGCTCCACACTTGGTGTGAGCTGAAGGTTACACTGCCTCTCAGGACTTCCTTTTCCACAACCAAAAAATAAGGTCTGTCAGTCTTTTTCGTGTTTCGGACTTTAGGAGGATTAAAAATCACCACCTGAAATGACTGTACAGCTTCTCAGGGCAGTCACAGTTCTTTTAGGTGACGCCAGCTCAGTGGTTAGGGATTCCCCAAAGTCATTCTGGCATATAAAATGCATACCCGATAGCCCACTGAAGTGGCAAAATCATAGGTACGTTAAAGCAGCCCCCAAGCTTTAAATGTAAGGTAGTTTGGCTCTGCTTTGGTAGAAAGGAAAGAATACTGGAGAGGGGATTGGGAGCCCCAAATCTAGTTCTGGTTCTGCTGAACAAGCTTTGTGATCTTGGGCAAATTCTCTACCAACTCTGGGCCCCATCTGTAAAATTATGGAATTGGACTAGATGATCTGAAAGGTCCTTCCAGCTGGGACATTCTATGGCTCAAATTATATTCACCCAATTATCATCAAAATTCCTGTTATTTATTAAGTACCTACTATGTGCCAGGCACTTTATATAGATATTGTGTCTTATCCTCATAGTAAACTTACAGGGGAGGTATTTCATTATCCCCAACTTGGAGAGATAGGGACACTGAGACTTGGAATAGGTCATAAACGTGAAGCCACAGGTGAGGCTCGAATTGAACCCAAGTGTGCTCATCTCCTGTAGACCTTGCTTGCCTGGAGGCTAATGGACTGTGACTTCACTTTTCCTAGAGAGCTTCCTGGCCACGAGGGCCAGAGGGCATCAGCCCTCTAGTGGTGTTTGCTTTAGGGGCACTTATACGATAACGGTTCTGATATTCTTTCCCAGATGTGTGAGAAGTATGACAAGTGTGAAAACAGCAAGGAGGCACTGGCAGAAAACAATCTGAACCTTCCAAAAATGGCAGAAAAAGACGGATGCTTCCAATCTGGGTTCAATCAGGTACGAATGCAGTACGTTCACTTTTAGCTACTCCTTAGTAAAAAGTTCTCCCTCTTGCATGCAGTGTCTGTACACATATAGACCAGGTAGGTAATCAAGAAGGGGATAAACGTGAAGAGCATCATGTAAATTTCATGAGGAGGCCAACTTAAACGCTATTAAAGGCAACTTATTTTTGAAGGACTTGGTCAGAGATAGCCCCTCTGTGCTGGAATTTTCACAACAGTCAAATGTTAGGAAACCCCACAGGTCTAGCTAGTTTATCCTGCGTAAGTTGGTCCAGGGACCTTTCTCCTCTTTGGCTGCCCTTGGCAGGATCCAGGCCTGCCCCCCCTGCTGAGGTCATTCTCTATACCCTTCTCCTGCCAGACAGTGGCATAACCTCCACTGACTTCTGATTATTTCATAAAAGGAGGTTTCAGCCCTTTTATTTCATAAAAGGAGCTTTCCGCCCGACATTGACAAGGGCAGGAGTGCAGCCAGAGGGAAGAGCATTATGGAGAGAATCGGAGGAAGGCCCCTTGCCACAATCTAGCATCTACTGGGCTTTGGGGAAAATGAAGCGGTGCCTCTCACTGTCCAGATATTTTAAATGGGGCAGCTGATGCTGTCCTTAAACAACAGGTCTCAAAACATGAGACTTGCTGCTTTGAGCATCCAAGTGTGATCCTGGAGCACTGCAGCTTCAGCATCATGTCTCAAAACATGATGCTTAAGAAGTACTGGAAGTTCCCTGGAGGGGCAGACGGAGAAGTTATTGAATTAGAGCAATTTTAACTTTTAAAATCGATTACGTCTTCCTAGCAATAACCAGTTTTCCCACCATCTTTCCTCTTAGGAGACTTGCTTGATGAGAATCACCACCGGTCTTCTGGAGTATCAGATATACCTGGACTACCTCCAGAACGAGTATGAGGGTGATAAGGGAAGCATCGAGGCTGTGCAGATTAGCATCAAAGCACTGGCCCAGATCCTGAGGCAAAAGGTGGGTGTCTTCTCATCCCCTCACTTGGCTCAAAGAAAGCAGCCTAGACAACTCGGCAGTGCAGAGCCAATTCAAAAGAGATGGCCATGTGTGACGGAAAGGATCTGAGAAATATTTCCTGATAGTTAAAACTTTTTCTTTTTGCTCTCTTCTGCAAAAGACATCAATAACTGTATTTAAAACTCTGTTAAATGGGGAGGGTTTTAACATCAACTTCTAAGAGCTTAAGAAATAAGGAAAAAATACCTGTAGAGGCAGAAGGAAGCACATTCAACCTCACATAGTGATCCTCATAACAGAACAAAGAGCACAACAATTATTTTAATATTGCCAATTGACATTCGTGTTATTATGGTAGTTTCAACTCCTTTCCCTTACTCTTTTGCCAAAGAGTTAATGCAGAGAAATGGCTAAAGGCTGAAAGAGCAGGTACCAAGAGCTTTGGTCACTACCAGCTAGCCATTCAAATGCCACATGGTGGAGGCCTGATGGCACAATTTGTGGATGAGCCAAAGTGCAAAGAGAAGGGCCCTGGACTGAGAAGCAGGCACATGGGTGCTAATCCTGTCTCTGCCTTTTCTAAACCAGGGCTAAACCAGGTTGCCCTAAACCAGGGCTTCTCCCACTTTAAGGTGCACACGAGCTTCCTGGAGGATCTTGTTACAATGCGGAGTCTGATTCAGCAGGTCTGGGGTGAGACCTGAGACTCACATTTCTAATAAGGTTCTGGTGAGGCTGCAGTGCTCCAGGATCACACTTGGAGGTGCAAGGCCTTCCACAATTACTTAGCTCCATGTGAGTGGGTCCATTGAAAGGTGTTGCCCAGTCCTCTTCAAGCCCTCAGAGCAGTGATCTCTTAACAGATGCGGGATGAATGGGTGAGAGCAAAACCAGAGAAAAGTATTAGAGTTCCCCGAAGAACCTATTAAAATGCCTTTAACTCAAAGTTCTTCATTTATCTATTGAATTCCGACTACGCGCCAGGCACTGTTTAGGATAACAGAAGACACATAAGATACTATGGCTACCCATGGAATGCTTATGGTCTAACGGAGACAGAGCAGCAAAAAGATTAGAGCTCAGCTGCTGTGAGCGGGTCCTAAGCTCTGTGGGCTCAGAGGAGAGGCACCTCCCCCTATCTGGGCAAGCCAAGGCAGGTGGCCCCAATCCGCTCCTTCACCCCAATTTGAACACCTTCCCACAGGCCAGAGTATCTCTCCACTGCAAAAGATCTGTCCGGTATTTAAACAATTCCTTTTGTTTTCTGTTCCCTTCAGGTCAAGAATCCAGATGAAGTAACCACCCCTGACCCAACTACAAATGCCAGCCTGATGAATAACCTGCAGTCGCAGAACGATGACTGGATGAAGAACACAAAGATTATCCTCATCCTGCGAAGCCTTGAGAACTTCCTGCAGTTCAGCCTGAGGGCTGTTCGGATCAAGTAGCTGGGGCACCGAAGGTCGCTGTAGTTCATGGGCATTCCCTCCTCTTGTCAGAAACCTGTCCACTGGGCACATAACTTACGTTGTTCTCTATGAAGAACTAAAAGTATGAGCGTTAGGACACTATTTTAATTATTTTTAACTTATTGATATTTAAATATGTGATATCGAGTTAATTTATGTAAGTGATATTTATATTTTTATGAAGTGCCTCTTGAAATATTTTATGTACTTGTTTTGAAAAAGTAACGTAAAAATGGCTATGCGGCTTGAATATCCTTGCTGTTTCGGAGCCAGATCATTTCTTGGAATGTGTAGGCTTACCTCAAAAAAAAATGCTAACTTATACATATTTTTAAAAGAAATATTTATATTGTATTTATATAATGTTTAAACTGTTTTTATACCAATAAAGGCCTTTTTAAAAAATATTAGCAACTAAACCTTTGTGTGTCCTGTGAAGCTTAGTATAAACTAGTTTCCATTGCTATCACCACCACTAAAAAAAAAGGTGCAGTCACCTGGAGAAAGATATGATTGAACACCTACTGAATGTCAGGCACCAAGCTAAATGTGTTGCATGCATCATATTTAATCCTTGCATTTGCATACTTTTTTCTGGATGTGGGAGAGTGATTCCCTCAGTCACCAGCTGGAAGGTAAACCACAGATTTGAAATCCAGGTCTACCTGCCTCCAGGCTCCCTACTCTTAACCTTTAGGTCACACTACCCCCCAGGGAACTGACAGATGATGTAGAAAATCCCAAGAGGATATGCGGAATACATTTAAAGATGCAATCAAAAGCCTTTGACATGGTGCAACCACTTGCAGAAAACACAGCAATGTGCAAGTTTCCAAATAATAACTAGAATTTCCGCCTCTCTCCTCTGGGTTCCTCAAACACTGCACAGACCTGTCCATCATAGCACTGACCACATTGTATCACATCTTAAAATGGGTTGATTTTTCTTTCCAGCCAGCATGGGGTTCCTCAAGAAGGCAGACTCTATTGTATTCATCTTTGCATGTGGAGCCCATGGCCCAGAACCCGAACATAGGAGGCCCCAATAAACCCTTGCTGAATGAAGAAACCACAAATAAATAATCAAATCTAAGACACGTCCGTTCTTAAGGATACATGCTGTTGGTCAGTGAGTGGGGAAATCACAAGTACTGTGCACTTATGAATCTTTATCTTAAGGAAAAACTAGCAAGGCTTGGGAAGAAATATTCTAAGACCTTCCAGAGGAGGCAGCAAGTAGTCGGCGCCTGTGTACCTCCCTCCATTTTCTTTCCCACCAGCAACATTCCCTGTCTGCCTTCTCCTCTCACGTCCGCTGAGAGTGGTGGTGAGAGGGACAATCTGGTAAGTGCACATGGCCCTGCGTCCCACATCAATGCTATGTTGGGAATTTGGCAAAGATTTCCCCTTTTAAGCCCCAGCCATATAAAAGTTCTGTCTTCTAATAAAGCTTTCCCCACCCTAACCACCACGGATGTCTTCCTCCAGGGGAGGAGTTCTGCTGAGCAAGGGAAAGTCCACAGGGGTCAAAAACTGAGAGGTGTCAAGCAAGAGAAGAACCACATACTCTGTTTTCTAGAAACCATGCATCACAAGCGGGCGTCCCAAAATTAGAGCCAAATCAAAGAACAAAGAGAAGTAGCAGTCAGCCAACACATCCATTCTTCAAACGAGAATGTTTGGAGCGCCATATATGTCAGCTGATGCTGGGGATGCGTGGGTGAACAAGTAGACATGTTTGTTCGTGTTGTTTACGCTATGGCAGGAAGACAGACGTTGAATAAAGTATGTAAATGTGATGAAGTTTACAAAAGAGAAATGTGAGGCACACAGAGAACCTATACTAGGGGCCCCAATAGCAGAGGGACCTAACTAAGCCTGGGGAGGGCAGTCATGGAGGCTTAATTGAGGAGGAGAAGTTTGGGCTGAGATGTGAAAGACATGTGGCGTTAGCCAGGCCAAGATGGGTGGGAAGAGAATTCCAGTCCGAGGGAACAGCACGTGCAATGGTTTGAACCAACAAAGAGCACACTATGGTTGAGACCATGAAAAGTACATTATGTCCAGGGCATAAAGAATGAGAAGCAGGGTAGTTGAGAGTGGATGGAGAGGGAGCCTGGGACCAGAATATCGACAGCATCAGAAGCCATATTAATATAAAGCCATATTAATATCAAAATATAATTTATAAAAGCCATATAAATTTGGAATTTATCCCATTTGTGGTGAGAAGGCATTGACAGATTTTAAGGAGTAGAATGACATCTGGGATTTACATTTTAACATGATCACTCAAGTTGCAGTGTGGGGAATGGATGGGAAAGAGGCTGGAAGAGAATGTTGGAGGAACATACCAGAGGCCTTCATTGTAGTCCAGGGAGGAGATGAATTAGGATGGTGATAATGCCTAGAGGAGAGAAGACAATGGCAGTCACTGGCAAAAGATAGCTAGGAGCTAGTTCAGTAGGATCTGGTGATTGTTCACCAAGATTCAGGAATTCTAGAGGACGCTGAAGCTTTGAGAGAGGGAAGAGGTAGGAGTTAAATGGAGAATCCAGAGAATTTTGGATTTGAGAGTTTTCATTTATTCATTTATTCAAATATTCTCTGAGATTCTGCAATGGGCCAGATTCTCTGCCAGGCCCTGGGGATATAATGGTTAATAAAACAGACTAGGTCTCTGCTCTCAGGGAACTTACAGTCTAGGGAAAACAATTTAAAGAAATAACTCCTATGCTGTATGCTAAGTATGTGTGCTACCATCATAAGTAGGTAGCCCTCCACCTCAAAAGACTTATAACTAAGATCTTTGCAGATGTAATCAAGATAAGATGAAGTCATTTGGGTGGGCCTTATAAGAATGAAAGAGACACAGAGAGACACATAGGGGAGAAGTCTATGTGAAGAGGGAGGCAGACATTGGAGAGGTGCATCTATAAACCAAGGATCACCAAGGACTGTTGACGACCACCAGAAGAGGCAAGAAAGGATCCTCTCCTAGAGCCTTCAGAAAGCATGGTCCTACTCACACCCTGACTGCAGACATCTATCCTCCAAAACTATGAGAGAATAAATTCCTATTGTTTTAAGCCACACAGTTTGTGGTAATCTGTTATAGAAGCACTAGGAAACTAATAACAGCTCCTAGACAGCACACAATAGAAGAGTCTAATCTAAAATAGAGGGTTCAGGAAAAGCTTCCCAGAATAAAAGACAATTAAGCTTATACTAAAAGAATGTATAGGATTCAGCCACTTGGACAGGAAGGAAAGGTGTTTCAAGCAGTGAGCACAGCATGTGCAAAGGCTCAGAGGTTGGAGAGAACATGTTAGAGGAACTGAAGGACTTGTACATAGCTGAAGCAGTAGAGAAGTAGTAGAAATGAAGCAGAAGCAATAGGGTCTAAATTATAAAGGAGCATGCAGGATGGATTAAATTAAAATGTTAACGTAACAGAAAGATAAAGAGCAATTTTCTTAGAAAGAGTTTTTGATTTGGGGTTTCTTTGGTTTGTTTGCTTTGGGGTTTTATTTATTGATTTTTAATATTTATTTATTTATTTATTTGGCTGTGCGGGATCTTCATCGTCACGTGCAGGATCTTCATTTCGGCACGCGGCATCTTTTCAGTTGTAGCATGCAGGATCTAGTTCCCTGACCGGGGATCGAACCCAGGCCCCCTGCATTGGGAGCGAGGAGTCTTAACCACTGGACCTCCAGGGAAGTCCCTGCTTTTAAATGTTGAGGGACTTTTCATCATCTTCTGGTGGCATGGGGTAAAGAGGCTTCAGTCCAGAGGTAGTATAGAGGATATCTAGAAGAGATCTAGTTTTCTGTAGTGGGTTCCAGCAACACGGCAAACAGTACTAGAGAGGTGAGAGGCAAGAAAGAGAGAAGGTGAGAAGGCACACCCCAAGGTATGACTTAAGAACTTCAGACACTGTGATATCTAATATCAAATTTTCATTTATCTTCTCCTTTACTCATAAACCTTCAATGAGCTTTATTCACCAACATAAAGCAAATATATGACAGCCTTGTGCTAGCCCAGCTCTGAAGAATGAAGGGAGGCTCCTGTCCACCTTACGGGGTGAAATGGACAATGGAAGGTTGAAAACACAGGGAGATTCAGCGAAGTGATCAAGGAGAAACCAAAGAGTTCAAAGCAAGAAGGGACAGGCTGCAATCAGGACATGTAAGACCCCACCAAGAAAATCAAGAATAAAAAATAATAATTTTTAAAAAGAAAATCAAGAACACTCAGGAAGATTTGGGAGAAGTTTGAATCCCCTGTAGTTGGCTTGGGATGGGGATACTGGTTATAATATTTGGATGCTAAAGGAAAGGATGATCTCCAAAGGCTAGGGGCTTGAGACACGTAGGTTATACTATGAAAATAACCCCAAATCTGCAACAGAGAAAGCTGGTAGGAAGGCAGCAGTCCAGATTCCACTCCTGATGAAATTCTGAGTTTCTATCTGGGTTAAGAATAGAGAGGAAGAGATAAATGAACCCATATAAATAGACTAACAATAATAGACTGGGAATTCCCTGGGGGTCCAGTGGTTAGGACTCAGTGCTTTCACTGCGGGGGCCTGGGTTCGATCCCTGGTCTGGGAAATAGGCTCCCGCAAGCCGCGCAGCACAGCCAAAAAAAAAAAAAGACTAAGAATAGACTAATAATAATGATGATAATAATAATCTGTTATTGAGCGCTTACTGTGCACCAAGCACAGTTCAATGTATGTATTATTTCAGAGGCACAAGTATTAACCAAAGGAGCAGAGAGTCTAAACAACTTGTGCAAAGTCACAAAGTGTGTAAATTCCATCCGAGACTGCTAGTTATCCTTTCAAATCCATTTTCCACTTCGTCCACCGTAATAGCGTTTGAATTAGCCATGTGGCTACCTATCTAGAGGCTATATTTCCCATTCTCCTTTGCAGGTAGGTATGGCTGTGCTAAAAAAAAGAACATGGCAGGCCCAAGACTTTAGAAAAGGCTTTTAAAAAGCCT